GTGTGTGTGTGTGTGTGTGTGTGTGTGTGTGTGTGTGTGTGTGTGTGACAGAATTAATGAGAATGGGGGCCGGGGGGAGACCACAGATTTTAGCACTAGATCCCATCCCTCTTGTCTGTTTCAAGGCATAGCTTTATAGTTCTCTCCCCGGCCACTCCATTCCCTTTTCCCTTTTTCAGGATTATTCGTGTCATCATACATGCTGTTATTTCTCCCATCTTAAAAGCAAGCAAGCAAACAAAAACCAGCCCTCTCTGGACCCTGCACCATTTCCCTACTCCCCTTTACAGCAAAACTCCTGAAAGACTTTCCTATACTCACTGTCACCCATTTCTCCTCCCATTCATTCTCTCTTGAACTCACTTGAGTCAGGTTTTTGCCTCAACACAATCCTCTTAAGTAACTTTTGTTGAGGTGTGAAGAGCAATGGCCAATTTCCAATTCTCATCTTAGTTGAACAATCAGCATCTTATTTAACAGAGTTGATCACTTTCCTTCTCCTTCAAATACTTTCTTTACGTGGGGTCCAGGACACCATCCCCTCCTGACTTTTCTCCTACCTCACTGGCTTGACCTCAGTGTCCTTTGCTGTTTTCTTACCTCATTGACCTCTGTTGAGTCCTTGACCCTCTCCTTTTTGATGTCTATAATCATTCCTCAGATGATCTCAAGTCTCATGTCATCTGTATACACTGGTGACTCTCAAATTTTCTCTCTAGCCCACACATCTCTGAACCCCAGGATTGTGATCTCTATTTAGATGTAAAATAGACATATTCAACTTAACATGTCCCCAAACTCCTGATGTATCCACCTCGGCTTACTGCAAACTTTCTCAAAGCTGTAAATGGCAACCTCATCCTTTCAGTTACTCAAGCCCCAAACCTAGGAGACATTTCTTTCATACGCCAAAGCTAATTCCTTGGCAAATCTGGTTGGCTCTACCTTTAACACAAAACCAGAATCCCGTCACTTCTCACCACCTCCACTGCTACTATGCAGGTCCAAGCCACAGTCATCTCTTACCTGGATAAATACAAGAGCCTCTGAGCTGGTATTTCTGTGTCCACCCTTGCCTTCCTCTAGTCTAGTCTTAATTCATTTCCGAAAGTAGTCATTTAAAAAACAAGACAGTGGGAATGTAAAATAGTACAGCAGCTGTGGAAATCAATACGGTGATTTCTCAGAAAATTAAACAGAATTTCCATATGATCCAGCACTTCTACTTCTAGGTATATACCCCCAAAAATTGAAAGCAGGAACTCAAACAGATACTTGTACACCCATGTTCATAGCTGCATTATTTGCAGTAGCCAAAGGGTAGAAACTACCCAAGTGTCCACTGACAGATGAATGGGTAAACAAAATATGGTATATACGTACAATGGAATATTATTCAGCCTTTAAAAGGGAGGAAATACAGACACATGCTACAACATGGATGAGCCTTGAAGACATTATGCCAAGTGAAATAAGCCAGTCACAACAGGACAAATAGCGTATGAGTCTATTTATATGAGGTACCTAGAGTAGTCAAATTCATAGAGACAAAAAGTAGAATGGTGGTTACTACGGACTGGGGAGAGGAGGAATTGAGACTTTATTGTTTAGTGAATACAGAGTTTCAGTTGGGGCAGATGAAAAAGTTCTGGAGATGGATGGTGGTAATGGTTGCACAACAATATGAATGAACTTAATGCCACTGAACTGTGCACTTGAAAGTAGTTAAAATGGTAAATTTTATGTTATGTATATTTTACCACACACACACACACACACAAAAAAATATATGTAAGTCAGATCATGACCCTCCTCTGCTCAAAATTCTCTAGTATCTTATTTCTCTCAGAGAAAAAGCCAATAAGTCCTCATAATCCCCTTTAAGACTCTATATAGTTGATCTGACCTCAAAATACTGGCCCCCTTAATCCATCTTTTCCAGCCATATGAGCCATTTTGATGTTCCTTGAAAATTCCTGACACTCAGGGCCTTTGAAGTTGCTGTTCCCTCAGCTTAGAATGCTCTTACCCCCAAATATCTATGTGCTTCAAACCTTCACTTCCTTCAAATCTTGACTCAAATATCAACTTCTTACCCATCTTGAACACATTATTTATAATTACAACTTGCAACCCCAGCATTTCTGTTCCTCTCGCCTGCTTATTTTTTCCCTCCACACCACTTATCACCATCTGACATACCATACATTTTACTTTTTATTTTTAACTGCCTCCCTCTGACTAGAAATGTTTATTCTGGTCCTTTAACATTTTTTAAAAATCTGTCATCTTAAGGAGAAATGTGACCTTCATGAAGGCCTGGGTTTTTGTTTGTCTTGTTTACCTATCCACCCCTGGCATCTAGAACAGTGCCTGGAACATGATAGACGCTTAATATTTATTGAGCAAATAAAATAATAAAGGTAAGGAGAGCAAGGACAAACTACTAATTTGGAACAAGCCGGAGCGGCCAAAATAAAAGGGAAAAGAGAAAATGGACATGCGGCTATAAAGGTCATTACCATCTAGATTCCTGAGAACCTTGGATGCAGGGCTAAAAATTAAAACTTAATCCATGGAAAGACAACAAAGGTTTTTGAATAAGGAAATGACTTGTGCTGTGAAAGTGACGTGACCAAGTGACCATGTGCTACTGTTAATAGGTCCAATGGGGCCACTTTTTAAACAGGTGAGCATTTTCTACAGTGTGCCTTGTGTGACCTTCCCAATAGTCCTAAGAGGTAGGAACTATTTTAAATTTTCATTTTATGGTTGAAGAAGCTGAGATTCAGAGAGATGGAGTGACTTTCCCAAGGTAACATGCCTAGGAAATGGCAGAACTCTGAGTCGAACACATCTTATGTCTTAACTTTATTCAGCCTCATAGCCTGCCTCCCCACCCAGATGATAAGCTACAGATAGGCAAAGACTGTATCTTATCCTTTGCTATATTCACCTTATCTCATTCCCTCACCCCCAGGCAGTGTTTGCCCAAGAGGTCCTCAGTGCGTGTGGACTAAATGGTATCCTCTGCTTGGATCTCTTTGGTCTTCTCCATCTGTTCACCTCCACACCTTGACCTTTGGCCTCTCTTCACTGACATCAAGCATATCTGGATTCAATCCCAGCTCAGCCACTTCCCAGCTTTGTGGCCTTGGAAAAGTTAACTTCCCCTGGCTTTAGTGTCTTCATCATTAAAATGGGGATAGGAGTCCTGGTTATTATGAGGATTAAGTAAAATAAGTAAAACACCCAACACATTATATGCCATAAAGTCCTCAATGTGGCAGTTATTATTGTCTTAGCCCCTTACTCCGGTCTTCAGAGCTAACACAATGCTAGTCACTGGTAAAGTGTTAGTAAGCATCTGATGAAATAAATGGTATGTTGAAAAGACTGGACTGGGAGTTAGCAGAGGTAGATTTTAACCCTGGGTTATGGGCATTGGTCATTTTTTTCTCTCTGGAATTGTTTTTTCACCATCCTTGTGACCTCTAAGTTCTCTTTTAGCTCTTCAGCGAAGTACGAATGCATAAATTTACCCCATCCCTAATGCTCAGACCCTCTGTTGACCCACATCCCCCCTCTTGCACTGCTGGACCTCTCTTAGCAGATGATTCTTGTCCCAGGATCCTCCTGGTGTTGGCTTCCAAGGAGCGTTGGAAGCGCTGACACCCAGGTGCCACCAGGTGGTACTGTGGACTCATTCAGGTGAAGCTGGCTTCCAGTATCCAGGTAGGGCTTACAGGAGTGGTCCTAGGATGCCCTTCCGGCTTCTTTGGAGAAACTGGGCTTCTTCCGTGGAAGGCAGCTCTACCTGGGATAATCCTGGGAGGTGAAGTTCCCAAAGACCACCCTGGTTCTGCTGTGGAGATTCCAGCTTAGACTTGGCATCAGGACCAGCTACATGTTTTGTGGGGCCCGGTGCAAAATGAAAATGCCCAAGTTGGTGGTAGAGACAGCACAGGACATGCCTAAAAGCCTGCAGAATGGTTCTAGTTCAGCTTTCTAGAGCTGACTGTTAAAATTTCAAGAATTTTATGAGCTGGTACTGAACACAGCGAGTATAAAAAATGATATAAACTTACAAATAAATAAATGTATAAAAAATAAAGGTAATGAATATTCCAAACTCATCACTATGTTATTATTTTTATGCACTTCACTATCATCTATGCTTTTGAAATGACTTACATTTATTGTATCTATTTGGTGGAAATACTATATAATGGCGTGCCACTTACTGTATCTCTCTTCCCAACTCTGCGTTTAGTGATCTCACATTGGTAGTTTAAAATCGACGAAGGTGGAAGCGTTTACATCATCAAAATCTACCAACACTACACATCATGTCCCCCCACCCCAGCCAGTTGTTAAACTTTTGCCAGTACTCCCCTGGTCCTGGTTGTATTTCTCCTAACGTGTGCTGTGTAATCTTGATCAAAGTCCTATTCCTTCCAGCCTCCCATATGTTTATGTATCACTTTATAATTTACAAAAAGGGGGCATCCTTTGTGTACTGGCCACTATTGTATTGTGTAATTCTTAGAACCAGCCAGGAGGTGGGTTATTGTGGTCCAAAGAGCAAAGGATGTTGCTTTGGAAGAGCTGATGACTTTGGAGGCCAGGTTGGCTGGGTGGCGGGGGTGGCTGTCACCAAGGCTCCCAGAAGGTGGCGCTGTATACTGGCTCAGGGAAGCAAGCCACATTACCTTTTTTCTGTGCCTCTTTCTCCGCATTGGTAAAATTAATAATAATAATAATAATAATAGTCTCTCCAGTCACCTCCAGCATTGTCGTTGGGATTTGTGCATCGTAAGCCTGCTCCCTGGCTGTATCTGAGGCGGGGGGAGAGAAAAGAGCTAGCCCCCTCTGCTTTTGCAGAAGGACACAGCAGTGGGAGGTGAGAACTGGCATTTCCTTCTTCCTCTGACAACAGTGAGGGGTTTTCACAGAAGGGAGACTGAGGTTGGATGCTTTAGAAGTTCAGGAAATAAATGCCAGCCCAAAATATGCTGCTTCCATATATTATTTTGAGTTGAAGTTACTTGAAAAACAGCCAATTCAGGGAGAGGTTTTTCTCTGAACTCCCCTTATCTGTTTAACAATAGATCCTCCAGAAAGAATTTCAATTATCATAAATCCCCTCCCATGAAATTTCATCAACCAGGAAAGATTGACTCTTATCACAGGAAGGAGACTGGACACCACACCCAGGCAAACTTTGTCACAAACTATTCTATCTCTGATCTTCTAAGGGCCCATTCATCTTACCTAAAAATCATTTACTCTCTCCCCTAAGCGGCCTACCTCACTCCTCCTTTCCTCCTATTAAGACAATATATAAGCTTTCAAATCCCATCACTTTTTTGGGTATTTACTTATTTACTCTGTGATGTCCCCAAGCACACAACATTAAAATAAATAAATTTGTATACCTTTTCTCCTATTAATCTTCCTATTATCAGTTTATTTCATAAACACAGCTATCAAAGCTGGAAGCACAGAGCTGGAAAGTCTTTCCTTTCTTACAATGTGAATGGCCCTAACATTAACTGTCTTGTGTACTCTACTTGCTGCCAAACACATACACCCTGTGTTTTAAGCTTAGACTTGCTTCCCACTTAGCAGAAAGCAGCTATCACTCCTATAATTGAAAACACCCTGACTTCCCAAGGAAGGCACCCCAATGCCCTGGTGTTCCTCTTGTAGCTTTCTTGCAATTCCTTCTCAAAAATCTGCAATCTATGACTAAATGGTGCAGTTAATCTCCCTAGGCTACCACCTTGAGACAACAGTAGGCGAAAAGGAGAAGAAAGAGAAGGAAAAATATGTGAAGTATTTTGTAAATATGTACATTGAGGAAGGAAGTTCAAATAGAGGCATTCATCCTCACCTCTGTAACCGATTCTAAGGTTGATATTGTATTTCTGACTTTCCTTCTTTACTACTTATTCCAGGTTCCTCTGCCTTCAGTCAGCAACAGATGGTCAAGTTCTTTGTAAATGGAAGAGACCCAACCTTTCATTCCTGAGAGATTTGTGCACTGGGAGATCCTCTTGTATAGAGCTGCTGTAGTCTTGCAGTAACTTTGACCACATGATTTGTAGTAGGAATAGGGTCCTTAGCGATACAGTTGAGTCTATCGCTAAACCTCCCTGACCCTACGATGTGGTAATAACTGATTTCCCCTTGATAGCCAGAGGTTTTAACCCCAAATGATACCTTGATTTCTTCTCTTGCTTGTCTATTTGCAGCATGAAGTATTCAAAACGGTTGAGTGGCCATTTCAACTCCCAGTTTGGTGGGAAAATTGTGTTGCTTGGTGGAGGCATTGCTTCCTTGGACACTAAAAGTTTTTAACATACCTTCCTTCCCTACAGTCATGAGGCCAAGAGGCAAATAATTTTTGAGTGAGTCAAGAAGTTTCATTATGAGAGGAGGCACTCCCACATTCAGCCCCCTTGGCTTTTGAACTACATAGTAGCTGGCTGAAAGGAGAAATGGTACACTGGTTCCTGTACATGGCTCTTTATCTCACAAAGCGTTTAACAACTGGTACCTTATCTGGGCCATCAACAGGCCTTTCCACCATTCTAGAAGGCTGGCTGATGGAGCATGTGGTAAGACCAGTGAACCCTGTGGGTGTCAGCTCAGTCTCATTTATTTTTTTGTGAAGTGACCATGTTTCTTCCATGGTCAGAAACAATATCGTATGGGCTAACAAGATTGTGAATTAAGTTCATAGATGGAGGTTCTGGCGGAGGCATGCAAGACAAGAAAAGCAAATCCAAATCTAGAGTATGCACCTCTTCTAGTGAAACAAATTCCTGCCTCCATCACGAGTGACACGGTCCTATGTAATCCATCTGTCACCAGCTAGTTGGCCGGTTCCCTTAAGGCATGACACCAAATCAGGGATCCGGGGCTGGTTGCTGCTGTGAGAAAACTGGGTATCTACTCAGTTTGCTGGGTCGGCCTTAGTGAGGGGATGATCCTTTTCTTCACCTCTATTACCATGGTCCTTTGTCCATGAACCCATTGAATAAGTAGGGGCACATGGTGAGCATTCATATGGTATGGTGTTACCTGCTGTCTCGTGATCTAGGACCATTCTAAGAATTCCATCTTTCCCAAACCTCTTTGTCATGAACTTCTAATCTTTAAATCTGAGCTGCTCAAATCAGTATTTACTGCCTGTGAACTGGTACAGATCTTGACCTGAGACCATCTCTCCTTCTAGGCAAAATAGATGATGAGATATACCGCTTACAGTTCTGCCTGCAGAAGTAATTAGTTAAGATGAGGTCCTACTAGAGTAGAGTAAATCCCTAATCCAATATAACGGATGTTCTTACGAAAAGGGGGAAATCTGGACACAAATATATATACAGGGAAAACACCATGTGAACATTAAGATGGCCATCTACAAGCCAAGAAGAGAGGCTTAAGATAGATCCTTCATAGCTCTCCTAAGGAACCAATCCTGCCAGTACCTCAATTTTGGACTTCTAGCCTCCAGAATTGTGACACAATAAGATTCTGTTATTTGAACCAGTTTGTGGTACTTTGTTACAGCAGCCCTAACAGACTAATACTAAGCTTGCTGAGAGCGTGTGTCTTGTTCACAGCCATCCCAGAACGTGCCTATACCTTTCCTTAACACCTTGTAGAGCTATTTAACTGTTTCACTTTTATAAATGAACCTAAAAGCCTTTCAAGGGAAGAGTGTTGCGAGTGTTCAATCAAACCTGTTGAGTAGATTAAACCATTTCACTCATTTCCATATTTTTTGCAGAGAGTGCTGGCCAGTAAAATGTGTGCGGACTGATAATTCATAGCTCTTCCTCTCCAAGCTGCATTAATATGCACGCCGCGCTTTTAGCTCTCTGGACAAAGAGGCTAATACTTCGCAGATCCTTCGAGTGGGATTCAGAAGACCGAATGGAGCGCCAGCCTTTTCCAGCGCCGATTCTTGCCCCTTTTGGCATCTTGGTACTTGTAGTTTTGTCCACTACATCTCTGCCCGAAACGCTGGCGCTGAGACCACAATTCCCATCACCACGCGAGGACTGGAACCTTCAGAGCGCAACCTCCGGAGGGGGGCGCCGTCGCTATTGACAAACTTGCTGGCCTAAGGGCCCGCCTTCCTGAGCCCAGACTCCCCCATGATTGGTCAACTGTCCCGCCTCTCACCGGAGGGGCGACAGGTGAATGAAAGGGGGGCGTGTCGGTGCGCGTAGCTTGGTGGCGGCGCGGCTGGAACCCGCTGGAAGGTGAGAGCCAAGAAGCGGGTTCACGCTGCCACTTTCATTGACTTGGGCAGGAATCGGGGCACCCCGGGAGGTCGACCCGGGAGGGATGCAGCGGGCAGGGAAGCCCCCACTGGCTCGGCCTCCCTCGGACCGCTCGGCCCTGGCGACTCCCGGTACCCTCGCCGCGCCAACCCGCGCTGGATGACAGACCCCCAACCTGCCCTTTTGCTTGGGGAGGGGCGCCGCGGCGGCAGTTGCCTCTCCTTCCCTGGCATTGGGCTGTCTCCCCTCGTGGTCCACCCGGGTGGTCGGGGCGTTACGATGGTGTTGGGGTTTTGCCCGCCCCAGCGATGGTCACTTTGTCCGCGAAGGCCACGGGAGGGGCAAGGCCTCAGTTCCCCACCCTTAGAGACCGAAGACCGAGTCCAGTAACTGGTTCCGGTCATCTGGCTCCGGACGGGGGGAGGATCCCCTTGATTTGAGAGCAATTGAGCAGGTGAACCAAAGATGCAATTGACCCTGAAATTCTTTCTGTGGAAATGGAAACTTCTTCCGTGTCGTTCGCCTCCACTCCATGCGTTGGGGAAGGGAACCCTTTTCACTGTGTCCTGGAGGTCTGGAGGGTCAGCATAGTGGTTAAGGGTGTCACCTCTGGAATCAAACCAACCTCTGTTCCAGTCCTAGCTTTGGGAGTGTTATCTGTAAATTTGAACCTTCCTTTCCTCCTCTGAAAAAGAAGATGTAATGATTGTATCTACTTTATTGGGTTATTGTGAGGTTAAAATTAATTTTTGTAAAGTGCTTCATACAGCGCTTCATGAGAAGTAGTGCTCAGTAAATGCTAACAATTGATGAGCAGGTTGTCATTTTTCTCAGGTGGGTGAACCTGGAAGGAATCTTGTCAGAGTCTCTGGGTGAAATTCAAGGTTGCTTTTGGTGCCAGGAATGAAGACAGTCCTTCATTCTATGATCTGGCTAGGTAGGATTCCCTCAGGAGAAAATGGGAGTTGATTGCGGGTGGTAGTGTTGGCATCTGCCCTATTCCTGGCATCTTCCTTGTGTCAGACATTGTATGTAGCCCGTAACTGTTGAATTGAGTTGGAACAGTGGGAAGGTTGGGAGGATCCCTGCCAGAGTGTGGATAAATGTACTTCTGAGAGCAATATATATACCCCAAGAGCTTCTTTTCTGGGAGAAGTGATTCTCAGCATGTCTCAGGAATGCAGAGCACCAAAGGCAAGTGGGATTAGCATGAATGAATATTTTCATGTTATATGCCAAATGCAGGGTTGGGGAAAGGGTTGAAGAAAGTCTGTGGATAGACTTGCAAAGTCAGGGAGTATTTGCATGACCCAATAGACCCTAGAATATTTGCAGAGAGAAAGCCAAAGGAAATGAGTTTTGGGTACTATTATTGGAAAGGAGCATCTTCCAGTGGGGGGAGGGAGGGTGCGGAGGGAAGGAATACTCTGGGAGGAGGTCCTGTAGAAAAAAACCATTCTACAAATTAAGAAGAAGTGTTGTGTCTACTTAGATTTTTATCTCCATGGTTTGCCAACTACTTACTCCTTTACCCCTCTTCCTTTTTTCCCTTTGTTTGAAAAGAAAAATAAAAGCAGTACAGGCACATAGTGGAACATACTAGGAGTATAGAAGTTGAAAAAGAAAAGTGAAGGTCCCTCCACATACCTCTTACCCCTAGTCCCTCTCCTCAAGGGTATCTGCTGTTAACTCTTGCTTGTATAACCTTCCAGAAAAAAATTCATGCATATACCAGCAAAAGCATATACATGGGATCATACTGTACATTTTGTTTTACATCTTGCCTTTTTTCTCTGACTGTATCTTAGTGGCCTTTTCATATGAACAAACACAACTCATTAAAAACTCATCTAGCTCATTAAAAACGTGGTTGCCTAGCCGGCTGAGTGGCTTAGTTGGTTAAGAGCTCGCTCAAGAGTTTGAGCTCTGAGCAACAGCAGTTCGAGTCCGGCCCGAGCTGAGCAGCCGCTGAGCTGCCAACAGGTGGCGGGATGGCTCAGCTAAAATAAATAAATAAAGAAAGAAAAACGTGGTTGCCTAGTACTCCACTGTGTGATTGCATTTCATTGATCATTGATTTAACTTGTTCCCTATTGGTGGCCATTCAGTTGTTTCTACTTTTACATTAGTACAAAAAACCTGGTGCAATGGACATCTCTGAAATTATAGTTTCATGTAGTTTTTGAGACTACATTCCAAAAGGGTAAATTTTTAGCAATGAAGTTCCTGGGGCAAAAGGTGTGTACATTTTAAGTTTTTTTTCCCCTAAAGATTTTATTGGAGAACTGAGGGAGGGGAACAGCATTGGGGAATCGGGGAAAGGGAACAGACAAGTTGCTGTCCTTTTTGTTCTTCAGTCTAGTTGTGGAGGATGTCGCTTCATTGGCCCATGTTGGTATTATCATTGTGCTCTTCCCAGGTGAGGCAGTTGCTCACCAGCCATTGGACAGCTGCTCACGGCGGCTCACGGCAGCTCACGAAAGCGCATGCTAGCTGCCAGCCAGCCCCACTGCTTCAGGTGGAGCTGTTGTTCACCATCTTAGCTGGTTCACCATCTTAGCTGTAGAGGGCGTAGCGTCACTGGCCTGCATATGGGATCCAAACCGGGGTCCTGGTGCTCAGAGCTGGCATCCTAAGCCAACTCTTAACCAACGCACCACTCGGCCAGCCCACACTTTTAGTTTTGATGTGTTCCCATCAACAGTGGATGTTATCACATTAAAAAAGTGACTTTACCAGTCTGATAGGCTTTCTTTTATTTCTGAGGAAGAATAGAATGTGGTACTTAAATGCTGCATTTTCCTATATCTTGTTTTTCCCTTAATATTTTAATTGCCAAAGGCAGTAGCAGGAACTGCTGGGAAAGCTTGGTTGAAGCAGTGGGAAGAGGTTAGAATGACAGTCCTGTGAAAACTTTCAGGATTGATTTATTTGGGAATAATAGAATTTTCCAGATATCTGACAGTTACCTTCCTTTCTGAACCAAAATATTAATTTTAACTACTTTGAATGAAAATTTCCAAAATTATGACATAACTTTCTTGAGTTTAAAATACTGTAAAAGGATAAGAATCTTCTTGATGACTTAGGCCTATCAATTATAGCCATGGGCTATAATTTAGTGATATCCTTAGGCCATTTTGAATATGTAAGAGTGTTTAACACCCTTGGCTAAATGGCCTCTGGCTGATATTTTGAAAACATTCTTAGGTCTATTTTTGTTATAACCGTTTTAGTTTTTTCCTACCTGTCAGTTCTCACTTTTAAATTTGTCAGTTTACTTCCTTTATAGAGGCTCATCTCCACTTCTCTCCCTAATTGGTTCTCTAGTTTCCAAACTCAATGTATCACTTGTTATCTGTATAAAGCAGGTGTAAATTGCCATGTAAAAGGTTGTTGTGAGTCTTTTATGAGTAAAGTCTGTGCAGTTAGTGTGTAAGCCTTGGGAAATCTATTTTGCCAGTGGAAGGACCCTTTTTGTGGGGAGTAGGTGCCTGGTTTCTGGTTGGGTGAGATGTGTTCCATTTGTAGAAAGGAAGAGTGCTAAAGAGTTGTTAGCCTTGGTTGGCAGCTCTAACTAGGCTTTTCATGATTTCAGTAGTGGGAGTTGATGTACTTGGTTGTAGAAACTTCTCTGAGTTCCATGGGTCAGTAAGTGAAAGGGGTATTGATGAATGGCCATGTGGGTTGTGTGATGGGAAAAGATGGAGGGGAGAGCTTGGAGAAGAAGGTATCTCTTGCTTGTATAACCTTCCAGCAAAAAATTCAAGCATATGCCAGCAAAAGCATGTATACAGATGGGATTTTAGCAGAAGGATTTTTTTTTTTAAGATTTTATTGGGGAATTGTGGGAGGGGAACAGCACTGGGGAATCGGGGGAAGGGGAACAGACAAGTTGCTGTCCTTTTGTTCTTCAGTCTAGTTGTGGAGGACGTTGCTTCACTGGCCCATGTTGGTAT